TACATGATCACGATAAGTCAAATGAGAATCCAAAGTAATTCCAAGATATTTGTAGGAAGTGACAATATCAAGGGGTTTGTTTAGAAAAGTGAGTTGATTTGTTATATTGAAATGTCTCCTGGGTGAGGAAAAATACATGTCAAAGGTGAGTCAGCATTGTGAACGCTGAGTCATCGTTCTCACTAATTACCTGGTTTATATTGTTCTGCAGGTTTTATGCAGTCTAACCCATTCTACATGGTTTCTGATCATTTACACATAAAAACCCTCAGACGGCTGCTGTAACTTTAGCTTTATGTTTAGCTTAAAGCTTTAGCTTTTTGTATTTTTTATACATTTAAAAACTATTTTAATTAATTTTCAGATATTTTCCCCACATAAATACATTAAGGTTTCTTAAATGACAAAAACTTCTTGAGCTGTTGGCTTTTTTCTGTCTTCTATAGCGACAGTTCTGCTACTTTTATCTTTTAGCTATCCTTTGAAACTTCAGGCTATTACATAATCATTAGAAAATTTTAGACAATCTTTAGCTAGTGTTTTACAACTTTTAAGTTTTTAAGTCTTCTACTACTTTTGGCTTTCATATTTTTTTCATATTTTGCTACATTTGTCTATTAGCCAACATTTTGCAAACRTTTATTTGTTTTTGTAATCACCTTAGATTTTGCTACTTTTGACTTTTAGCTAACCATTTGGTGCTTTTGACAAGCATTTTCTACTTTTTTGAATGCAATTAGTTTTTGCATTTGCCTCATGTTTTATTACTTCTAGCTTTTAGTTAGCACTTTTGAGTTTTAGCTAACTTTTTGGGGCTATTCACTGACATTTTCTACTTTTTGTTATATTTTTACTGTTTTTGCATTAATTTATACTTTGTTACTTCTAGCGTTAAGCTAGCATTTTGTTATTTTGTTACTCTTAGCTAAACATTTGGTGCTATTAACTTGCATATTTTACTTTTAGCTAGTGTTTTGTTTATTTTTAGTTATTAGCCAACAATCTTTTGTTAGCATTTAGTGATTTTTAGCATTCACCTATTGTTTTACTACTTTGAGTTAGCATTTAGCTACTGTAACTTTTAGCTAGTGTTCTGCTGCGTTTAGCTTCAGTATATCAGTTTCAGCTAGTTTAATTTAGGACTCAGGGTTCAGAGTACTCATAGAAAAAAAATCTTTTATGAATTTATTTGTTTATTTAAAAAAAACGAGGTGAAGTCTGTTGTGTTTTTGTTCAGCTGAGGTTGGATTTGAATAATTTTAGAAGCTAGTCTCCTGTTCTCCAGAACTGAAAGAGGTGGATGTTCTCTTTAACTTGAAGGAAACTCAAAGAGTTTTTCTTCAAAGCTTCAGGAGGCTCAGAACCGTTTATTTTATCCCACCGGTGTTCTGAGGTTTAGTGTCCAGCGTGGATTCCTGAGGTTCTAGGGACGTCTGCTCCTGCAGGTGGCGCTCTCGCTCCTGCAGCCGGTCGACCATGATCATGATGCAGTCCAGACTCTTGGCGACGTTCGCCCACACTCTGTCCTGCAGAGACACACACACACACACACACACACACACACACACACACACACACACNCACACACACACACACACACACACACACACACACACACACACATATAAAAGCTGTAACGGTATAAAACGGCCCACTGAAGCTGAGGTCTAAAACTTGCCCACTCCTCCTCGTCGTACTCGTCCTCCTGGTCCGTCGGCGAGTTCTCACAGACCAGACCGTTGCTGTGGGCGTGGCAGCCGGCGGCGGCGGCGTAGTGACGGTGGATGTCGAGCAGGGTGTTTTTAACCAGCTCGTCCTTCAGGGCGTGTATGAACTGTGTGGTCTGGGATCAGAGGGATGGAATCGTTTGTGTCTGATAATCTCTGTCAGCTGTGATTCTACGCCTTGCCTCACCTCCTGCATYAAAGTGTCCAGCACCTCCTGCAGCCGGGAGATGTCCTGCTCCGAGGAGACGGACAGCAGCTCCTCGGCGAGGCCGAAGATCAGAGGCTGCAGCCGGGCGACGCTGGCCAGCAGCTCCTTCGCTCTGCAGCTCTCATCCTGAGAATACGAGACGGAGCTGTAGAGAGAGTAAAGAGCTGTGGTGGAGGCATGAAATCATTCAAATAACCTTTCTTTAACTCGGGGGATGAAGAAGAGTTCTGTCAAAAATATATTTTAAAATTATTGTTGGATTAAGACTTTTGCACAGTTCTGTAAAGACAATTATGATGGGAAAAATAAAATTCAATAAGAGAAGCTTGTTTTAAATCTAAAGATATGTTGGCTGCTCTTCCACAAACACATGATCTGAGTGATTCCTGAAATATTTCTGTTAATCTATAAAACCGAGTCTAATCCTGACGCAGCAGAGATTACACAGATTAACTGACAGGCAGGAATAAACAGATAAATGATGAGAGAGAAGGAGGTCACCTCTCTTTGTGGTGTTTCCTCAGGAGTCTCTTCAGGCCGCCATGTTTAAACGCCTGGTGGTGATCAGCCGGAGCGCCGAAAGTGATGACCTCATACCAAACACCTGAAAATATACAAAAACACCTGTAAATATATAAATCATATAAAACACCTGAAAATATATAAAAACATATAAAACACCTGTAAACATATAAATCATCTAAAACACCTGAAAATATATAAATCATCTAAAACACCTGAAAACGTATAAAAACACCTGAAAACGTATAAAAATTTTAAAAAGCTAAAAATGTAAAAAAAAACACCTAACGTCAAACACATGAAACACCTGAAAAAGAGAATGATAAACTAAAGCGTGAACACTGACAGGCGAAGAACTTTTCTTAAGTTTGCTAAAGAAGCTACCAACTAAATAGTTAAAGCAAAAGAAAAATTTTATAAAATAAAAGCAGAAAACTAGCTATAAACTAATGAGAAAAAAAACACTCCCTTACAGCTAAATGTATCAAAGGTGTTAGCTACGCACCAAAGGTAGCAAAACAATATCTAGTAGCTTCAAATAGCTAATTGCTGTCTTCAGTTAATTGTAGCAAAAGTGTGGCTAATGGAATCCAAAACTAGCTAGAAGCAGCAAAGACCCAGCTAAAGTAACAAAAGGCTAACTTGTAGCTAAAACCTCTGTAAACACGGCAAAAAATTAAAAGTAGCAAAAGGTTGGCTGTAAGCCAAATGTAGCTAAATGTTGTCAATGTCAATTTTATCTGTAGAGCACATTTAAGGAAAGAGCAGTTGACCAAAGCGCTTCACAATTTACACCAACTATTACAGCATAAAATGAAGATACAAAAATAAAAAATAAAACATAGAAAATGAAAGCTAAAAGTATCAAAAACTAGCTACAAGTGGCAAAAACCTAGCCAAATTAATGAACGGCTAGCTAGTAGCCAGAACTTGCTAAAACCTTGCTTATAATTGAAAGAACCAAAAGGCTTAGTTTGTCTAAAAGTAGCAGAATTGTTGTTAAAATTAAAAAGTATCTTAAGAAATGAAAACAAGCAAGCTAAAGCAGGTGTCAAAGAAAACTTTGAAGAAATATTTGTAAATAAAGCTAAATATTTAGAAATTTTTATCAGTTAAATAATCCAAAACTCAGAGCACCCATCTCCTGAACGAGCCGACTGTTTAGGTTTATGAACAGCTGAAACAGCATGAGGCCTGCAGAAGTTTGGTTGAAAACAGCTGCAGGATGTTACCTGAGCTGTCGGGACCTTTGACCTCCATCCTCTGAGAGTGCAGGTTGGTGGGAACAAACTGCAGGTGTCTGTCGGACTTACTGCTGCTGGACTTGAAACACGACGAAGCTGATTGAAGTAAAAACATTTTATCAGGAGGAGAAAAGAAAACTATAAAAGATCTTTAAAACGTTCTGAAATGAGTTTAAAAACTTTACAGGAGCGTAAAAAACCCTCACCTGAGAGTTTGTCGAGCTCGGCTGATGTCTCCTGGTAGCAGCCAATCAGACGGCTACAGTGGTCGATGACATCATGGCGGAGACCATCCCAATGGGGTGAAAGGTCACCGAGCTCCTTCACCTCCGAGACTCTGAGTGGCAGAAACAAAATGTTTGTTTTTATAAAATCTAACTTCAGAAACAAAATCAACTTTTGTTTAACTTCAAAATGATAATTCTTATTATTTTCAGCTCCTCCTCAAAAATGACTGAGAACAACGGGCCTCACCTGTCGGCCAGTTCCTGAACGAGCCAAACCTGTCGGCGTGTTCTTGAACGAGCCTCACCTTTTTGTCCTTGAACGAGCCTCACCTGTCGGCCTGTTCCTGAACGAGCCTCACCTGTTGGTGTGTTGTTGAAGGAGCCTCACCTGTCGGCGTGTTCTTGAACGAGCCTCACTTTTCAATGGGTTTCTAAAGGAGCCTCGCCTGTTGGCGTGTTCTTGAACGAGTCCCACTTTTCAATGGGTTTCTAAAGGAGCCTCGCCTGTTGGCGTGTTCTTGAACGAGTCCCACTTTTCAATGGGTTTCTAAAGGAGCCTCGCCTGTCGGCCTGTTCCTGAACGAGCCTCACCTGTCGGCCTGTTCTTGAATGAGCCTGTCAGCCTGCTCCTGAACGAGCCTCACCTGTTGGTGTGTTCTTGAAGGAGCCTCACCTGTTGGCGTGTTTTTGAACAAGCCTCACCTGTTGGCGTGTACTTGAACGAGCCTAACTTTTCGAAGGGTTTCTAAAGGAGCCTTGCCTGTTGGCGTGTTCTTGAACGAGCCTCGCCTGTTGGCGTATTCTTGAACGAGCCTCACCTGTTGGCGTGTTCTTGAACGAGCCTCAATTTTCAACGGGTTTCTAAAGGAGCCTCGCCTATCGGCCTGTTCCTGAACGAGCCTCACCTGTTGGTGTGTTCTTGAAGGAGCCTCACCTGTTGGCGTGTTCTTGAACGAGCCTCAATTTTCAACGGTTTTCTAAAGGAGCCTCACCTATCGGCCTGTTCCTGAACGAGCCTCACCTGTCAGCCTGCTCCTGAACGAGCCTCACCTGTTGGTGTGTTCTTGAAGGAGCCTCACCTGTTGGTGAGTTCTTGAACGAGCCTCACCTGTTGGCGTGTTCTTGAACGAGCCTCACCTGTTGGCGTGTTCTTGAACGAGCCTCACTTTTCGATGGGTTGCTAAAGGAGCCTTGCCTGTTGGCGTGTTCTTGAATGAGCCTCGCCTGTTGGCGTGTTCTTGAACGAGCCTCACAATTCKATGGTTTTCTAAAGGAGCCTCRCCTGTTGGCATGTTCTTCAACGAGCCTCACATGTTGGCATGTTCTTGAACGAGCCACACCTTTCGGCCTGTTCCTGAACGAGCCTCACCTGTTGGCGTGTTCTTGAACGAGCCTCACCTGTTGGCGTGTTCTTGAACGAGCCTCACTTTTCGATGGGTTTCTAAAGGAGCCTCGCCTGTTGGCGTGTTCTTGAACGAGCCTCGCCTGTTGGCATGTTCTTGAACGAGCCTCACCTGTTGGCGTGTTCTTGAACGGGCCTCACCTGTTGGCGTGTTCTTGAACGAGCCTCACCTGTTGGCATGTTCTTGAACGAGCCTCAATTTTCAATGGGATTCTAAAGGAGCCTCGCCTGTCGGCCTGTTCCTGAACGAGCCTCACCTGTCGGCCTGTTATTGAACAAGCCTCACCTGTCGGCCTGCTCCTGAACGAGCCTCACCTGTTGGTGTGTTCTTGAAGGAGCCTCACCTGTTGGCGTGTTCTTGAAGGAGCCTCACCTGTTGGCGTGTTCTTGAATGAGCCTCACCTGTCGGGTGTTCTTAAACGAGCCTCACCTGTCGGCCTGTTCCTGAACGAGCCTCATCTGTTGGCGTGTTCTTGAATGAGCCTCACTTTTCGATGGGTTTCTAAAAGAGCTTCGCCTGTTGGCGTGTTCTTGAATGAGCCTCACCTGCTGGCGTGTTCTTGAACGGGCCTCACCTGTTGGCGTGTTCTTGAACGAGCCTCACCTGTTGGCATGTTCTTGAACGAGCCTCAATTTTCAATGGGATTCTAAAGGAGCCTCGCCTGTCGGCCTGTTCCTGAACGAGCCTCACCTGTCGGCCTGTTATTGAACAAGCCTCACCTGTCGGCCTGCTCCTGAACGAGCCTCACCTGTTGGTGTGTTCTTGAAGGAGCCTCACCTGTTGGCGTGTTCTTGAAGGAGCCTCACCTGTTGGCGTGTTCTTGAATGAGCCTCACCTGTCGGGTGTTCTTAAACGAGCCTCACCTGTCGGCCTGTTCCTGAACGAGCCTCATCTGTTGGCGTGTTCTTGAATGAGCCTCACTTTTCGATGGGTTTCTAAAAGAGCTTCGCCTGTTGGCGTGTTCTTGAATGAGCCTCACCTGCTGGCGTGTTCTTGAACGNCTTGAATGAGCCTCACTTTTCGATGGGTTTCTAAAAGAGCTTCGCCTGTTGGCGTGTTCTTGAATGAGCCTCACCTGCTGGCGTGTTCTTGAACGAGCCTCACCTGCTGGCGTGTTCTTGAACGAGCCTCACTTTTCAATGGGTTTCTAAAGGAGCCTCGCCTGTCGACCTGTTCCTGAACGAGCCTCACCTGTCAGCCTGTTCTTGAACAAGCCTCACCTTTCGGCCTGCTCCTGAACGAGCCTCACCTGTCASCCTGTTCTTGAACAAGCCTCACCTTTTGGCCTGCTCCTGAATGAGCCTCACCTGTTGGTGAGTTCTTGAAGAAGCCTCACCTGTTGGCGTGTTCTTGAACGAGCCTCACAGGTTGACGTGTTCTTGAACGAGCCTCACTTTTCGATGGGTTTCTAAAGGAGCCTCGACTGTTGGCGTGTTCTTGAACGAGCCTCACCTGTCGGCGTGTTCTTGAACGAGCCTAACCTGTCGGCCTGTTCCTGAACGAGCCTCACCTGTCGGCCTGTTCTTGAAAGAGCCTCACTTTTCAATGGGTTTCTATAGGAGCCTCACCTGTTGGCGTGTTCTTGAACGAGCCTCGCCTGTTGGCRTGTTCTTGAACGAGCCTCACCTGTTGGYGTGTTCTTGAACGAGCCTCACCTGTTGAYGTGTTCTTGAACGAGCCTCACTTTTCGACGGGTTTCTAAAGGAGCCTCGCCTGTTGGCGTGTTCTTGAACGAGCCTCATCTGTCGGCGTGTTCTTGAACGAGCCTCACCTGTCAGCCTGTTCCTGAACGAGCCTCACTTTTTGATGGGTTTCTAAAGGAGCTTCACCTGTTGGCATGTTCTTGAACGAGCGCGCTCAGCAGCTGTTTGGGGACAGTGATGGACAGCGGTGTCTCCGACATCTGCTCCCGGACCAGCAGCCACCTGTGATCCTCCGTCTGGAACCGGTACACCTTGCACACCTGAGAACACAGAGCTGCACACGAGTTAGTACCAAGTGAGGAGGGACATGTCTTACAGAGACAGGAGGACGTGGGACTCACCGGCTCTCATCATTGGACCGTTGTCTCTGTCRTGAACTGAGCTGTGGAGAGAGCCATAAAGACTGCCACCCTGAAACGAGAAGAAAATAGAACATCCAACATCAGACGAAAGGACAGAAAATAGTCCTGTCTTCRAGACCTGAGCTGTCCTTTTGGTTTCCTGTTGTCATATTTAAACTGCCTGAAATTAGCCAAGTCATGACTCACAGTAAAAACCCTGAGAGGAAACCACAGGCCTCTAACTGTGACACCTCTGCAGCRTGTCACATCTGAGACAAACAAATGCTCTCAACCTTGTCTTCAGGACGTGTTTTGTCTCCGTCCTCCTCCTTCACCTGCAGACGGGAAGCCATCACCTCGCCAACCTCGTGGACGCCATCCATCGTCCTGACGGAAACAAAGTTTATAAAAATAAAAGTCCAGCATGGCGTGATGCCAGTTTCCCTGCATGTTTACAACCCAGATATGTGCTGCAAGGAGCCCTACGACCCCGCACAGCATAATTTTGTTTTAGCTTTAGAAACATTAAAAACCTTATAAATCTGTTCATTTACCTCAACCTGACATTTATTAAAAGTATGTAAAGATAATTAAATCTTTTAAACAGACAATAAAAACAAAAACAAAAAATAAACTGCAGCTGTGCGGCAAATGAGTGACATATGAATGACAGGTTAGTTAGAATCAAAATAAAACAACCAGAACGAATCATGAAAGCAAACAAGACAAGCAAAAAAGAWTTTCTGCTCTAAAACAGTTTGAACAGCGAGAGCCGAATGACTGCAGAAACTAGTAGTAGCAAGCTAAAGCTGTCAAGCTAAAAGCTAACAGTAGCAAAATGGTAGCTAGAAACCAAAAGTAACAAAATATTTGCTTAAAATAACAAAACAGTTGGCTAAAAGTAGCAACACACTAAGTAAAATAGAAAAACTATCAAGACTAACTAGAAGCTAAATTTATCAAAAAAAAAACAAGCTAAAGGTAGTAAAAGTAAAAGGCTAGCTAAACTGTCAAAGTAGCTTGGCTTAAAGCTAATAGTGAAATTGAAACTAAAAGCTAAAGTGGAAAAAGGCCAGCTGAAAGCTAAATGTTGCAAAACACTAGTTTGAAGTAGCAAAACAGTAGCTAAAASTAACAAAGCGCTAGCTATAAGTAGCATACCACCTCTTAAATGTAGATAAATGCGAGCTAAAAGAAGAAAAACACTAGTTAATAGTAACAGATTGTTAATAGTAGCAAAACACTAGTTAAAAGTAACAAATTGCTAGCTACAAGTGGCAAGGCGCTAGCTAAAAGTAGCAAAACACTAGTTAAAAGTGGCTAAACGTTATTTAAAAGAAAAACAGTTAAAAGTAGCAAAATGTTACGGAACAGTAACAAAACCCCAGCTAAAATTGCAAAATACTACTTAAAAGTAGCAGAACACTAACTAAAAGTAGCAAAA